TCGTACTGTAGGTTTAAGCGAGCGAGGATTATAGGAGGGCGTTTAATCTAACCACGTTCAATATTAATAACTCATCAGTGTTAACAAGGCAAAGAAGATTTGTTTTAAAGCATAATTTACATACATGTATAGAACTATGTGAATATTAGCTAAAACATACTTTGTTTAAAAGAAATACCACTAAACCAAGCCCGCTAATATTTCTTCATGAGTCAATGCTGTGTGAATTCGACTGGATTATATTTCGTCTAACCTCGTGTCAACAATCAACGTCATATATTTTCAAACTTAAAGAAAACATAAAATCATAAATGTTTACCTTAAATTTGTTTTTGACTACTTACGAGGTTGTTCATCCCACGGTTTATAATTAGATATAAATAAGTTATGACGGTTTCAACGAATATGGGAAAATGCAAAGTTGTACAGGAGACAATGCAATTATAAAGGAAAAATCGGTTATATCACTATGGAGGGGTCTTACATGCGGTCCGTTCGCTATTGCCTTTTCCCAAGATATAATGCCGATACCATCGTACTATTTCTAATATAGAGATATTTAATTATGATGTCACACATGCACCTTTGGCGTCTAACATAATTACCCACATACCCCCCCCCCCCCCACCCTCCCCTAACTTCCAAACTAATACAGAAAACGTCACTCTAACTTAGCATGCTTGTAATATAAAGAGAATCCTTTAAAATGAGATGGGTCGTTACTCGCCCGAGCAGCTACACCCCACGAACACCAAATATTTGGTGTAATCTGACCACATGCTTACAAAACATGATCCGATTTAACATACCTCTTCCGAAACAGAATGTAACATAGTCGGGAAGTTGGATACAATTACTACCAACAAAATACTCTAAAATAGCAGCTGTTCTTGCAGGCTGCGATATATTATACTGTTCGATCTCTATCGGTTCTCGAATGCTTTAGTAGATTGTTTATTTTCTCTCCCCAACGTCATAATGAAGGGTATTATCCAGGATTATCTTTACCGAATATAGATCTTTTAAACTCACAAGGAAATCTGATCACGTTGAATAAATACAGTAGATGATGTGTAGAATGTGATACGTTTGTAAGGCGCCACAGCGGCCGAACCATTCTTGTGTCTGATGAGCTAACAAAATCTGCATTCTCTTCCAACAAACTGTGACTAACTTATTACGTAGTTTTTGAGAGATTACCCAAATGAAAAGCTTATGATTACTCCGTAACGTATGGTTAATTTTTCACACTAACATTTTCTATAAAATAATATACTTAAGTATTTAATACATTTTATGTACAACTTGATTGCCAGCAAACAAGAAAAGATATGATGCAGAATTTCAAAAATACTTATTTGTTCACTTAGAGATAGTATTATCATACTTAATTTGCATAAATACTTGATAAGTATATCAAAAGCACACATAATGTATATATAAAAATGCTCAGCATTTTGGACGGAGTCTCCTTCTTGATTTTAACTATGAAAACTAAATGCTTTGACAACTGCTACAAAATTTGCTAAATCATTACATTTGTTAAAGCATTTCTGATTCTCGAAGTAGTTATCGTCTTTGAGCAAGGACGGATTAGAAAAATGGCATGAAAACCTATATGGTTACTGTTAATGAAATCCATAATTGGAATATATTCACAATCTTGAACGATGGTCAAATATAACTTGTATAGAATTCGTTTACAGACATAGGACCCAATACCAAAATCGCAAGTCTTAAGGCACACAATAATGGAATATTCATGGTTGTCTTTCTTGTCAAAATAAAATTTAGTCATCAATGATGAGATTCTTGAAGCCACTCGATGCATTTACTTTCAGGGTTCTTCGATTTGATGGGGAGTTTATGACTACCAGCCTTCCTCTTCGATTTGAGATTACTCGTTTCATTATTACCTCCGTCCTCGCCGTCGACAACCATAGCGTCCTCCTTTGGGTTTTCATTCACTTGATTTGGATCTCCTCTCCACGGCGACACGTCCAATTCATATTCCATCTTCTGTCCCGATTTGACGACATCAGCCTTAGCCCTGCGCTCAATGTTTTCTTTACGAACCCGTCGTCGCTCTGCGGCGGCACCGTTGTTGTTGTCATCCCTAAGACCACGAACAGAACGATCATGATGATGAGAGAATATATCCGGTAATTTAGTTTCCCCGAGCGACGACGAGTTGGTGTTCGCGCCCTTGGAAGAACCTTTCACGGTCTTAGAGTACGTTTCAATCTTAGCCAGTCGGTTCTTCTCGACGTCGTTACGGTTGTTCTCATCGCGTTCCGACTGCATCATCACGTTGTACGACATCGAAAGGAAATCTCGCTCGAAGTCCTCATCGTCGTTGTCCTCTTCAGAGCTGTCCTTACCCCACTGGTAGCCGTTGCGGTTTTTTAGAATGGGACAGCTTTTCGACATGGGCATGCCTTCATGGGCACCATGACTCCAGTTCGACCCCGCCGTCCTCGACTTCCGAAACCCTTCCGGCAGCGCCATATTGGCGATGTTCGGCAACACAAAACTGTCCGACATCGATGATTTGTTGACCAGGAACCGGGCGGCCTTCGAGATCTTCTTATCACACTGTCTCCGCGACTGAACGGATGCCGCCCCCTGGTTGCCGCCCTCGGTGCTCTCAGCGTAACCGAGATCGTCGTGCTCGTCGCTCGTCGCGCTCCATCGAGAGTCTATTGGTGGGAGGAAGCTCTCCTCGACGTCGGCGGCGGTGGCCGCGCATTTCGGCATCGTTACATCCTCGGAATCGCCTCTCATCTTTCGTTGATTACCCATGGGATGGACACATGGAAACATAATGTCAAAATGGCGCGGTTTAATCTACCATCACGGTGCGATCACTGCACAGTAATGTTATGTTTCAGTTCATGATGAATCCACACAAGAATTGAACATGACGCTTCCGAATGTGTAAGCCGGTAGAAAGATTTTTGATACAACTGTTGTTTGCGCATTTAGATAACTACAGGGTGTCGATTACGTAAATACTTTGAAGAATGGCTCCACGACGTGTTATGTCAGAATAAATGTTGTAACATCAAAGTAAATATTTGAATGTTGTAATCGGTTGACTGGGTCCGTAATGCTCTCCAAATTAAAATCCTCAACAAATATGAATTTGCTCTTCCAGAACTAATGCGTACAAGAGACACAGTGCTTCCACTTGTTGAGGGGATAACGTGTTCCACAGTAATGTTGACGAATGTTGGAAAGAAAAACCTCCGATATAATCCACGTGTTAAGAGTGAAGAAGCATTATCAAAAGTCAACCTCAAGACCATATAGACTCCTGCTGCGTAGCCGTGAGTGAGATAAAGGAAACCATAGAAAAGAAAGACTGCGATATAAATCACCAATGTCGTTAGATAAGGAAGGCAGGCAAATAGCGTGCCTGACAACGGTACGAGCCGCAAGTCCGTGTGTGTGTGCACCCACAGGCGTCTCGGCTCAATGAATGCCGCTTTATCGTCTCCGTCCGTTCATAACATCTACCGGTCGAATGAGTCGAGAGGGGGGGGGGGGGAGGGGTAACGAAGGGGCGCTACGGATGTTTGAACACAAGCATTGGGCACCTGGCAAATTCGGGTCGATAAAGCGGAAAACACAAAACCGGTGTCTTGTTAGAGAAGGTAGCTGCTTGTATCGATTACATACTCAGGCCCAACAGACCAGCTCCCCGTCAAAAAGGGGCGGATCCAGAATTTTTGTTATTCTGTTGTGGGCATCAAACTATAGGGGAAGGGGGTATTTTTTGACAATTTTTGACTGATTTCGTTGAAATATAGGCTCATTATCACTGGCGTTACCAAAAGTTAGCGGCAGGGTAGTCTCCTCATAGTGAATACTTATAAATATAAGGGGCGGCTTTAGGAGTTTTTTTCATATAAATAAGGGGGGGGGGGTATTGCAGTTTTATCTGATGTAAATAACGATATAACTTCCTTCGACCATTGGTACGGCCAAAATTTATGGGCAAGGGAGGCAAGCGCCACATTCACTATTCTATTTTCGCCCATCTAAATTTTGTGGGCACCTACACTTGGGCCGCCCCCCCCCCCCACAGTTATGCTATTATTTTGCTCTTGATACAACCGTGAAGAAATTGAACGACGAAATGTCTAGCCTGTTAGGAAAATAATGTTCTATGTGTTTCTAAGGATAAGAGGTATGTGTTATATAGGGAGGGATCATCATGGGAGGGGGAGTAGAGATCTTTAGGCAACCCCCTTGGCAGGAGCCCCGCGCAATAGAGCATAGACTGGCAGTCTGTTGTGGGCATCAAATATGCATGGCCTACACAAGAAAGAATGCCAACGTATTGTACAAGAAGGAAAAGAGTGCATATCGATCGGGAGAGTTAAGAGAGATAGAGAATAATACTCAAAGGGGGGTCTATTACTATACCCTATCGGAGGACCCTATTGTCATGCCTTTTCAGTAGTTAGCATAAAATTATCCCATCACAAGCCGCCTTTTAAGGAAAAAGGACAAAGCAATGACAATGCAGATCAAAAGAGCTTTCAAACTGTTTATCTAATTTTCTGGTAAAGAATAAAAGGATAAAAGTCACTATGCCCTTCATACGCTCTCAGAAACATTACGACAAATTTACGATTGACATGAACATGATAACCCCTCTCCCCTCCTATTCTCTTTTATTTGTATTTCTCTTTTCCTTGTGAATCGGATGTCCGTTCCATGAGCTATATAAAGTTATTTTTGTTTGCCTTTAACCTTGATTTATCATTTGGGGATAATCTTCTTTTAGAGTAATTATTTAAAATCGTTAAGCTATGTTAAGCTATTATAAGGACACATTTATTTCACTTTTCAATTGTGTTCGCTGATTCAAGGAACGCCCCTGAACATAATTGTAAGACGGCTCATTCAAATCTATCAAAAACCGGTCACTAAGAGAGAAAGCAAAAGATAAATTTTAAATGTGTATACACTTGGTATATATGCTTATAAGTATGGCGTACAATATCAGAAAAGTTGTAAGTCCTAACAAATTTATCTCCAAATGTATCTGTAGCAGCAAGATGAGTTTATGAAAGTATGTGCACATGTCAGACCAAAAGTCTGTTGTTTTCTGAAGAGAAACAAAATTTTGTTCATACTCAACTTAATGATCTCTTAGTCATGTTTTGTTTTACTGTTCAATAATTTGTAAACAGGTAGAATAAATAAGATAAAGAAGAAATTCAAAGAGAAGTGCATAAAATGTATATTTTATTTGTTTACTTTATTGAATAAAGTAGTTTAATCGAAGTCGAAAATAAGCGAAGCTGGTGATTTGAGCAGCCACAATCATGTTTAACAAAATTCTTTTAAAGAGAGTTGCATTGTCTGAATATTCTTTTCAGGGAAATGTGACATTCATTGGTATAAGTATGCCGTTTAAATCTGTTTTCTTTCAGTCAAATAATGTATTGTGGCGGACACATATTCTGCCAGCTTGGCTTGACACGGAATATTTGTCAGGATGCCCCGTATCTGGCCAGGCGCTCTCCGTCCGTTTGGACAAAATATATGCCCGTAGCTTAATGGCTGGAGTTATTAACTGCTCACACGTATCTCAACAATCATTCGTCCATCGACTACAATCGGTCACCTAAACGTCTCGTTCACAGCATCAATCAATTGAGCATCCTTCGAACAATCAATTTCCCTTGTCAACACTTGTCACAGGTTCTCGTCCCTTGGTTTCACTGCTCCAAGAATTCAAACCAATCATGATGTGTGTAGGTTGAAAGTCTTTATTGCGATCCATTCAACAATCGGGTAACTCAGTACAAGTATAGTGCAAACTATGTGAGACTTAGCTTAGAGGCTTAGGCCAGGCCAACTATCAGGCCCCAACTATCAGGCAAACTATCAGGCCAACTATCAGGCCAACTATCAGGCCAACTATCAGGCCAACTATCAGGCCAACTATCAGGCCAACTATCAGGCCAACTATCAGGCCAACTATCAGGCCAACTATCAGGCCAGCCTCGGTGAGGCTGGCCTGTATCGGATACAGTGCAGTGGAAAGCCCTAGATGCACAACCCTGACCATCGTAATAATTTCCCTATACATAAACGTGTAAAAGAACAATTATGTCCTCGTTAGTAAAACAACACTTCAACACAATATTTCTGCTAATCCCATAAAATCTTCACATATAATCTTCAGTATAACCCCTTATTCCTGATTAGATCACTACTATACAAGTAATATCCCCAAAAGAAACATGATAATTGCACCAACATGATCAAAATATGTAATTTATGCTCATTTTCCTTCAGTTTGGTAATTGCTAAATCAACGATGCACCATATTGCTATAGCGCATGCTCGTACAACAGAAAATGCTTAACCTTCGTCCAATACTAAAACACTGATTTGTTACACGATTCCCTTCCCTCCCAAGCTTGGTCCCCAAGCTAACTTATCTATAACTTATGCAACAACAACAAAACAAATCAAAACTAAAATCCAAGTCTTTTCTGACAGTTCAAAATGGCTCTTTCCAAAAGTGTTCAACTGTTCAAGAGTTAGTTCGTTTCCTTTCCTTCTCAGCATCCCTGGGCTCATTGTTCTTTCTCTCCATTGTCGTTCCGCACATCCGTCAGCTCGACCAGTTGCAACACCGTCAATGCTACCTCCCGTCGTCCCCAAGCTCCGTCAGCTCGACCAGCTGTGACGCAGTCAGTCTTACTGCCCGTTGTCCCCAAGCTCCTTCAGCTCGACCAGCTGTGACGCGGCAGTCTCACTGCACGTCGCCCCCAAGCTTTATCAGCTCGACCAGCTGTGACGCCGTACGACCTACTGCCCTTCGTCGTCCCCCAGCTCCGTCAGCTCCACCAGCTTGTGACGCCGTCAGGCCTTCTGCCCGTCGTCCCCCAGCTCCGTCAGCTCTACCAGCTTGTGACACCGTCAGACCTACTGCCCGTCGTCCCCCAGCTCAACCAGCTGTGACGCCGTCAGCCTTACTGCCTGTCGTCCCCCAGATCTGTCAGCTATACCAGCTGTGACGCCGTCAGACTTACTGCCCATGGTCCCCCAGCTCCATCAGTGCTACTGCCGTCGTCCCCTAGCTCCATCAGCTCGACCACTCCACGCCATCAGCTATCCCACTTCTGACACCATGTGTGGCGGACACATATTCTGCCAGCTTGGCTTGACACGGAATATTTGTCAGGATGCCCCGTATCTGGCCAGGCGCTCTCCGTCCGTTTGGACAAAATATATGCCCGTAGCTTAATGGCTGGAGTTATTAACTGCTCACACGTATCTCAACAATCATTCGTCCATCGACTACAATCGGTCACCTAAACGTCTCGTTCACAGCATCAATCAATTGAGCATCCTTCGAACAATCAATTTCCCTTGTCAACACTTGTCACAGGTTCTCGTCCCTTGGTTTCACTGCTCCAAGAATTCAAACCAATCATGATGTGTGTAGGTTGAAAGTCTTTATTGCGATCCATTCAACAATCGGGTAACTCAGTACAAGTATAGTGCAAACTATGTGAGACTTAGCTTAGAGGCTTAGGCCAGGCCAACTATCAGGCCCCAACTATCAGGCAAACTATCAGGCCAACTATCAGGCCAACTATCAGGCCAACTATCAGGCCAACTATCAGGCCAACTATCAGGCCAACTATCAGGCCAACTATCAGGCCAACTATCAGGCCAACTATCAGGCCAACTATCAGGCCAACTATCAGGCCAGCCTCGGTGAGGCTGGCCTGTATCGGATACAGTGCAGTGGAAAGCCCTAGATGCACAACCCTGACCATCGTAATAATTTCCCTATACATAAACGTGTAAAAGAACAATTATGTCCTCGTTAGTAAAACAACACTTCAACACAATATTTCTGCTAATCCCATAAAATCTTCACATATAATCTTCAGTATAACCCCTTATTCCTGATTAGATCACTACTATACAAGTAATATCCCCAAAAGAAACATGATAATTGCACCAACATGATCAAAATATGTAATTTATGCTCATTTTCCTTCAGTTTGGTAATTGCTAAATCAACGATGCACCATATTGCTATAGCGCATGCTCGTACAACAGAAAATGCTTAACCTTCGTCCAATACTAAAACCCTGATTTGTTACAGTATTGATGTACAGTTTGGTGTACAACTATCTGAATAATGAGATTACGAATTGTACATTAACCTGTGAACTATTTTGGAAACTTTGAAATTTTTAAGTACAGAATTAATAGTTTTCTGTCAGGTATCTTACTGCCAATAATGATATATCCCTGCAAGTCCATTATACCACCAATGTCACTCATGCTTACCGCTATAAATGTCTATCATAAACTCCACATTTGTTTTTATAGAGAGTTCATATTGTTGCCTCTTGACATTTTCATTCGAACAGTAATAGAAAGCAGCGTAAAAGATTCAACCATATTTGTCACGCTGCCAACAAATTTCACACTCAACATGAATTTGTTATGATTAATGTTTTTGTCTTCTTTCTCCAGGTCGCGATCGGCATCCACGGCATTTCGACTCCATCTTTCCCTCTCTCTTTCTCTCTCCTTCCAAAACACACGTCTGACATTGACCCGTAACTGCCGTTGTCATGGAAACGGCGTCATCAACCTCACGCGGGTCGGGGCGGCAGGTGAAAATAGATCGGAGTGCTCCCCGACAGGAAATTTATCAACCAAACACAGGACTATTTTTATCACACACTATCACACATCGGGGCAGTCCTGTACCGATGTTTAATACAAAATGGCATTCCGCTGTACTATTAGATGATCTTGGCAAAAGGTGTAATTTTCGTCTATAGATTGTTTTATTAGCGGAGATAGCTTTAGAAACACAAATTGTGCATCAAATACAAATTGCCGTAAATAAACTTGACCTACATTATTCTGTATAGGTCACCAAAATACGGGTCACAAGTTTTAGTGAATGCAGGTATTTGTGTGACAGCGAGCATCAAAATATAAATGCAAATCAACCGGAAATTCGTTGTTATTATTACCAACGGAGTTTTATGACGAGTATGGTGACATAAATTCTAAAATATCTAAATAAACATAGGTACATTCAGAAGGTGGGGAAAAATGGCTGCGGTCACCCTAAATATTGAGAGAAAAAAAGAGAGACATTTTGGGCTAATAATTGTTAACATTTCGGGGGGGGGGGGGGATCCCGCCCTCCTCTTTTTGATAAAGAAAGGACCGACGATGTTCCTGATATTTATTTATTTATTTATTTATGCATGTTCACAATTTCACAATTCATTGAAGTTAACATCACATGAAAAATGAATATAATATAACAAATCATTTCAATTTTAGTTTACAATCCATTTGAATTGACCTCACATGAAAAATAATATAACAATGATTTATCAAAGACATGTTGCAACTAATAAACAGTTTGAAGAAAGAACACACAAAGGTGATGAAGCATAAGCAAATAGAGCTTGAATCGTTACAACACCTTTCAAATATATAACATATGACAAATAAAATTCCTAAAGTTTTGTAGTAAACTATTTACACTATTTACAAAGAAAAAAAAAATTGTTAAGCCTAGTAAAACAAAACAAAAACATGTTCGATATAATTTGAACTGATATATAGATTATATAATGTAAGTAATATCTTACATCTGTGAAATGATAATACAATTAAGTGCTCTTTTAAAGGAGTTTGTTGACTTTATAATTATTTCGAATATCATTAGGTAAAGAATTCCATACATCTGACCCTCTATGTCTGAATGATTTCTGGGCTAATGTAGTGTGAGGATTGACCACATGTAAACTCATTTCCCAAACCTAAAAATGATAACAAACCCCCTTTTCTTGCATCCTTAGTTCCGCCCCTGTCCATGACTATCGTGCATATATACTTCATCCGGATATCATAAAACCTGGAGTATTTTACATGTTTCTGTAAATCCTCTTCCAGTCACGAATTATCGCCTATTTCCATAAACAACGAATAAAATAATTTTATAAAGGTTGTAATAATAACAGACGTCTGCTCCTGAATGGCAATAAATGTCTGCAACACACTTTAACACCCTATTCAAAATATCTTTTCTTCTGTCAGAAAAGTTGGGGAATTTTTAAGATGAGTCGCTAAATGAAAACGATTTTAGGCCCTACTTTCTTTCTTGTTAAATATTTCGTCATGAAAGAGGAAATTTTCTGAAATCTTTCATTAGAAACTTTTAAAATTTAATTCTTGTTCTTTTGGTGGGGTAATTTTAGCCAACCTCCTCCCCAATAGATTTAATCTGATTCCCTACTCAAATTGTCTCCCAATGCCGATTTTATTTAAACATTACATGGATTCTGTGTCTAGGCTGGCTATAGCAGTCTTTCCGGTATAGATTTTATTTAAAGTGTTTACAGATCAATATGGATCTTGTATGGAATATTCATTAAAGCTTGCATTTACCATCTTCGCTGGATCAACTGATTAAAGGAATATCGACCGGCCTGTCTGATATGGAACTAAGGATGCGTCCATGCCACGAAGTTTTTTTCCTTATTCATTTTATGAAAATTCGGGAAATGTGTATGATTCCATCGGAAAAGGGGTACGTATGGACAGCAAATAACACTAAATCTGATTAAAAAAGAGAGAATTATATGTATCTGGCCATATTTTTCTCATAGGTATTGCATTTTTCTTTGCTGGAACATGAAGTTCCTCATCGAAACTCCTAAAACAGCACTTATCAAAACATTGTTTGAAGTATACGTTCTTCGAAAAGTGGGTATTAGCGGGGCGTAAAATGGGGTGAGCTTTGTGTCTTTTTCAACTTTGGGTGAATTACTACCGTCTGATGTATTCTTACCCAGGCGCGTACGCAGGATTTTTTCAAGGGGGGGGGGGGGCTTCAAATTTAAAATTACGCCGAAAATTTCGCAACGACTCAGCCAGCCGCTGAATAAGCGGGGGGGGGGGGGGGGGGGGGGGGAGGGTTAAGAGGACAAATTTTTTTTTGTGTCCCAAAATTTGAAAATTTGGCCGATCGGTCTTGGGGGGGGGGGGGGGCTTTTTGGGGTCACCCATTACCATTTTTTTATTTTAAAAAGGGGAGGGGGTACGCGCCTGTTCTTACCACATGACAAGCCGTCAAATTACCCCATTTCGACTTATTTAAAATGAAGGACGTGCACTCATGTACTTATAACCAATTTTCAATTTAGTTTTCTCACAGTGATCATTTTTACATTACAAGAATATTCTTTAATTACATTCGAGAGACAAATTCATCTTCTCCACCCCAGAAATTTATAATCTGGTATGGACAAACTCGAAGTCTTTGTAAAGAGATAATGAGAGATGAGGAAATGGGATGTGTACATTGAAGGACGGGGGGGGGGGGGGTGGGGGGAGGGGGATGTAACGGGTCGGACAAGTGGAGGGTTATTTTCTAAGCTATTACACTATAGACAATAACCCGAAACCGCTAGTTGGAATAAAAAATGATTTTGTTTTCTTTATTTGACCTGTTAGTGAAATCACTATGCTTACCAGTTTTGTCTAGCAATAATATTTGTACGAGGAGGCTGCAGCCCCCTAAACACACTGAACATTTTGTATTTTTTTCTTCTTCTAAATACCAAAATTCGGGCAACGTGATGCCCGAATTATGATCCGATTCCGTCAGCGGGGTGCCGTGATATGTCATTTTCAAAAGGTTTATATAGTGTACTTTAGGGACAAAGTGATGAATTTAACAATAACAAAGTGCACGTCGGATTTTAAAAAGTATTTTATTGTTCATCTGCAAAATAAATCCTTACACAACTTAAATCGTAAATAGCTTATGAGAACTATTTGGACAGACATTTGTCTTTTAAGCGAAAATCTATTATCTTCATGACATAAAAGACTAGACAACTCGTAAAATCAAACTACAAATAAATGGTTCCTGCGGCTAGAAACCCCTTTTTAATGTTCTATCAGCATGTATATGTACCTGTGTATAAACGACATTCACGCTTCGGCCGCCCCCGCAGAC